ACAGAATGCAGATTAACTGCATTGATGTAGATTCTGTGACAGTGGAGATCTAGCCGAGGACACCATACCCTGAAGTCCTGGCACATCTCTACCTGCCTGGCTTACCTTGGCTGAGGAGGAGGAGGAGGAGGAGGAGACGCCGAAGGAGCGCGCTGGATCTTGGCGTGGCCATGCTCCACGGAAGAGGAGGAAAAGGAGGGGATTCCAAGGTTGGAGGGCGAGGACCAAAGGGTCTTCCAGGCCCCGCAAAGGCTCCTCTCCCGAAGAAGCAGCCCTGGCGACTTGTTTCCCTTCGCTGGAAGTTTCAGAGCAGCTTCCCCACAAACACCCGCAACCTGCTCTCTCTCTGCAGCGCCTCCTTGGTGAAACTTCTTCCCAAGTCCTGAAAAAAGGATGTACACGACACCTGGGGCGGTGGTTTTCAGTTCTGTTCAGAAAAGCCTTCACCTGAGCCCGATGAATAATGGGAATGAGCCGCGCGGTGACCGCTTCTGTGCGCAGAGTTTCAGTGGCGTGGCTCCGTCGGGACTTGTTCGCCTTTGAGGCGGAGCCAGGCGCTTCCCTGACCTGCTTCCATCAGACACCAAAGACAAGCAGCAGCCCTGCAAGCAGCAGCCCTGCAACGCAAGGGATTTTTTTAGCTCCGGAGGGAACTCCGGTGCCCCTCCACTCTAGAAGGAATACAGTTCGACACCACACTCACTGCCATAGCTCAGTGCTATGGCTTTTCTGGATTTGGAGTTTGGATGGTAGGGAAAGTGAAGTCCTTGTAAAACTACAGCTCCCGCCATCCCACAACACTGAGCCATGGTATTGAAAGTTGAGCCAAACTGCATTCATTCACAGAAATGCTGGACCACTCTCACAACCACCATGTCAGACTACACAGAGAAGCCATTGAAATCCACAAGCATGTAGACAATTTCAACAGAAATGAAGAAACCATGAAAATGAACAAAATCTGGCTACCAGTATTAAAAAACTCAATTATAACAGCAAAACAACAGAGAGGAAGCAAACAGGCACATAAAATCACTCTCAACAGGGAGTTCCCCCCAGGCGCTTCCAACCAATTGAATGCAAATCAAGGTGATCAGCTTAACATCCACAGCTAGCCTCAGCAGAAAAAAGCCCTTTGTCTTACCCTGGTCATCCCACAGATATATAAACCCATTTTTCCTACTTCTAACATACCTCGCTACCTCTGAGGATGCTTGCCATAGATGCAGGCGAAACGTCAGGAGAAAAACTGCCTCCAGAACATGGCCATATAGCCCGGAAAAACCTACAACAACCTGCATTCATTCTACTGTGGAAGGACACCCTGAGTCCTTGCTTACTGACAGTGTACCTGCACTGTAGTTTGCTCAGCCCAAGATGCCCAGGCCTCACCAAACTACAACTGCAATGATTCTGTAGCACTGAGCCATCTCAGTTAAAGTAGTGTAAAACTGATTTAATAATAATAACAATTAATAAGAAGAAGAAGGAGGAGAAGGAGAGGATTTATATTGGTGCTTAATTGTTTATTATGCTATTGTTTTAATTGTTTTTAACTGTTTTTACGATATTTTGAGCATTGAATTTTGCTATTGTTAACCGCTTTGAGTCGCCCAAGGGCTGAGAAAAGCGGTATGTAAATGGAGTAAATAAATAAAATAAATAAATGTAAAGTTCAAACTGCAAAAACTGGTACAAGCCTGTAAAGGTGGTTCCAGTGGTGATCGGCAAACTGGGTGCAGTGCCTAAAGACCTTGGCTTGCACTTAAACACAATCAGCACTGACAAAATTACCATCTGCCAGCTGCAAAAGGCCACCCTACTGGGATCTGCATGCATTACTCGCCGATACATCATACAGTCCTAGACATTTGGGAAGTGTTTGATATGTGATCCAATACAACAGCCAGCAGAGTGATCTTGTTTGCTGTGGACTTATCTTGTGTTTCTAATATTAAAAATAACAATAACAATAACAATAATAATAAATTATTATTTTTATGTCAGGAGCGACTTGAGAAACTGCACGTCACTTCTGATGTGAGAGAATTGGTCATCTGAAAGGACATCTGGATGCTTTGATGTTTGATTGTGGGAGGCTTCTCTCATGTCCCTGCATAGGGAGTTGGAGCTGACAGAGGGAGCTCATTCACACTTTCATCATATCCGAACCTCAGACCTGTCAGTCTTCAGTCCTGCCAGCACAAGGGTTTAACCCATTGCACCACTGGGAGCTCCTCCAGCTTCCCATGCGGGGACATGAGAGAAGCCTCCCACAGGATGGTAAAGTTCCCTGGGCAACATCTTCGCAGACAACCAATTCTCTCACACGAGAAGCAATTTGCAGTTTCTTACATCGCTCCTGACATGAAAATAATAATAATAATAATAATAATAATAATTATTATTTGAAACACACACACAAAAGTCAATGCTATGGCATTCTGGAGTATGGAGTTTGTTGAGCTCTCTTTGGTAGGGAAAACTACCAAAAACTACAACTCCCACGATCTCATAGCATTGAGCCATGGCATTGAAAGTGGAGCCAAACTGTATTCATTCTGCAGTGGAGGGGCACACAGAGTTCCTGCTCACTGACTGTAAAATTAATGTGGTTTTGTCTCACTTTATCAACCAAGGTCCAGTACTATGGAAACACTGAAATTGCAATTTCAGGAAGTCTGTAGCTTTCTCTGCCCAAGATGTCCAGGTCTTGCCAAACTACAACTCCCATTATTCTGTATCACTGAGCCATCACAGTTAAAGTAGTGTAAAATTGCACTATTTCCTAGTGTAGATACACCCCAGGTCTTGTTTTGCACCTTGGTTAGGTTCCATCTACACAAGAATGAATGCAGCTTGACACCACTTTTATTTCAGTGACTCTGTGTTATGGAATCACAGGAGTTGTAGCTTTACAAGCTGTTTAGCCTTCTCTACTAAAGAATGCTAGTGCCTCGCCAAACTTATGTGAATGTCTTCATTATCAACTTTGGCATGCTTGACCACATTCTATTGTTTCTTGGCCACAAGTGTCCCGGTTTTCATCTGTGAAATGGGGGAGGGCATATAGCAGTCCAACACTAATACTGCTTGCCACTTTGATCAGCTTTGGCAACCTTTAGTTTCCAAACATCTTGTAGGTACTAATGGTACCAAATTTCCATGTTAAAAAAACAACAACTCAGCAAACCTTTCCAGTAGCACATCATTATTTGCACTCACTGAGCAGTCTTTGCCAAGGCACTGAAAATATAGAATAATAGAGTTGGAAGAAACAATACGGGCCATTTAGTCCAACCCCCTGCCATGCAGGAAAAACACACTCAAAATAACAAGAAAAAAAAAAACAAGAAAAAACTAAAAAAAAAAAAAACACAAACAACAAGAAAAAACAAAAAAAAAAAGACAAGAAAAAGAAACAAGAAACTAGATATAAAAAGAGATAAAAGAGAAAAAACCCCCAAAACAAAAAAAAAAAAAAAAAAAAAAAAACAAAAAAAAAGTATAAAAAAGTCCCCTCGGGGAGATGGAGAAGGATATAAAGAAATTATATTATTTTTTTTGAAGTAATTTTTATTAAGGTATTTATCTAATACAACGAAAGAGGGAGAACATTTGAAGAAGATAGCACAGTAGGAAAGAATATATAGAGAAAAAAAGAGAGAGAAAGAAAAAAACAAAAAAAACAAAAAATACAAAAAATACAAAAAAATTACAAAAAATACAGAAAAATTCAAAAACATACAGAAAAAAATGCCAGGAAGAAAAAACAAAGGACCCAACAACTAGACAAAATACAACAAGAAATAGAAAAAGCGGAAAAAAAATACAAGAAAAACTCAAATAACAAAAAACTCAAACAGGAATTGGAGAAGAAACAATACGGGCCATTTAGTCCAACCCCCTGCCATGCAGGAAAAACACACTCAAAATACCTCTGACAGATGGCCACCCAGCCTCTGTTTAAAAGTTTCCAAGGAAGGAGCTTCCACCACACTTTGAGGCAGAGAGTTTCACTGCTGAACAACTTGTACAGTCAAGAAGTTCTTCCTAAGGCTCAGGTGGAATCTCGATTCTTGTCATTTGAACCCATTGCTATTTTTAGTTTCCAGGGAAGCAGAAAACAAGTCTGCTCCTTCTTCCTTATGACTTCCTTTCACATATTTAGACATGGCTATCATGTCTCCTCTCTACCTTCTCTCCTGCAAGCTAAACATACCCAGTTCATTAAGACGTTCCTCATAGAGCATGGTTTCCAGATGTTTGATCATTTTAGTCGCCCTCCTGTGGACACCTTCCAGCCTGTCAATATCTCTTTTGAACTTTAGTGTCCAGAATTGGACATAGTATTCCAAGAGAGTTCTGACCAAAACAGAATAGAGGGGCACCATGACTTCCCTCAATCTAGACACTATATTCCTTTTGATGCAGCCCAAAATCCCATTGGCTTTGGGTTGCTGTGAGTTTTTCGGGCCGTACGGCCATGTTCCACTACTGATGTTTCTCCTGTGTCTATGGCATCCTCAAAGGTTTTGAGGTAACAAGGTCTGAGGATGCCTGTCATAGATGCAGGTGAAACATCAGGAGAGAACATGGCCATACAGCCTGAAAAACTCACAACCCAGTGATTCCGGCTATGAAAGCCTTCGACAACCCATTGGCCTTTTAGTTGCTGCACCACACTCTTGGCTCATGTTCAACTTGTTATCAACAAAGACTCCAAGACCTTTTTCACATGTACTGCTGTTAAGCCAGGTGTCCCCCATTCTGCATCTTTGCATTTCATTTTTTCTGCCTAAGTGTATTATTTTACATTTGTCCTTGTTGAAATTCATTTTGTTAGTTTTGGCCCAGCTCTCTAATCTGTTAAGGTCATTTTGAATTCTGGTGATTCATCGTTGTTGAAATTCATTTCATGAGTTTTGGCCCAGCTCTCTAATCTGTTAAGGTCATTTTGAATTCTGATCCTGTCCTCTGGAGTATTAACTATCCCTCCTAATTCTGTGTCATCTGCAAACTTGGAATTCCCTCCACAAGGATATCTAGGATCAATTTTGTAATGACACAGTATCACTTTTTGCTTCTCTAATTTCCACAGATGGTGATTTGACCCAGCCCTTGATTAAATCTCTTCTTCTGGCTTTTGACTGCCTGACTATAAGGGG